GAAAGGCAATTTTTCATAGTGTGAAACTGTCTCATATGTTCCAAGATGTGTAGTGCCTGGTCTGTAGGCTGCCCCTCATGCCCTTCTTTTAGAACACTAAAAATGGCCTTCAAGCCGAAATGGGTTTGTCTCAGTGGATAGAGCGTTGACCTGCAGACTGAAAGGTCCCAGGTTCGATTTCTGTCAAGGGAATGTACCTTGGTTGCGGGCACATCCCCGATGGGGAGTGTGCAGGAGGCAGCTGATCAATGTTTCTAACTGTCAATCTCTCTAAATCTTCCTTCCTCTCTGTGAAAAATCAATAAAATATATATTTAAAAAAATGGCCTACAAAAATTCACAGCATACTGTAGGGGGCAGTGTCAACGCTATTAAGAACCAAACTGACTTTCTGTCATAGGTTCTGTCATAGGATTAAGTTTTAAATACCAACTCCTAACACAAACACACACTGTATTCAGATACTCAAATTTATATTTCCTATATTTTAAATCAGAATTAGACTTGAGAAGATGATGAAATAAAGTAAACTAAACCAAACTAAATTATGTTTATCGAATGCAAGCATGACTCACATTGTGCTGTGATGACTTGCACCCTTTTATCTCAGTGTCCTTGTCTGAAATTGGTTCCTTCAGCATTACATTTATGAAGTTACTCAATACTGCAAAGCATTTGCTAGGAAAAGAACACTTATCGGTATTGCAACTTTTTTCTTAAATGTATTTCAACTTAGCAGAGGTTAACAATGAATAAATGTCACTTAACATTTTAGCCAATACTTCTCTGAAGTGAGAAGAATGAGTAAGACAATGAAATTACAGGAGGTTATTTATTTATTTATTTATTTATTTATTTATTTATTTATTTTTAAGGGAAATTAGAGGAGGTGATGGGAAAAGGAAACACTGAGAGGGAATTTGTCTTTCTTAGAATAGGCATATTGCAGTGGATTTAAAGAATGGAGTGCTTAAATACTGGGTGGCAAAGTTTCTGGAATTTGGGTGTCTGACCTGAAAAGACAGCTTTTATAAAATAGAAATAGACTTGTTAAAAAAGACAGCTTGATTTTAACAATAGCTAACATTTATAAAATGCTTACTCTGTGTCAGACACTCTGCTAAGCACTTTATATGAAACGGTGTCTTTACACAACAAACCTATGATGGAGCTTTCTTGCTGCCTCCCACCTGACCCTTCTTCCCCCCACTTTATACAGGAAGAAGCTGATAATGGAAAGATTCAGTGACATTCCTGAGGTCAAAAGGCTAGTATGTGGGGGGCTAAGATTTGAACCCAGGCAGTCTGTGACTAGAGTTTGTGGTTTGAATCCCTGTGCTACACTGTTTATCTAATAGTATTTCCGATGAATTACATAAGTACCCTTAGTCCACTTGCTCTTATTCTGGGCTAAGAGTCAGGACACGGCTATCTGGTTCTCCGCTGTGCTTAAGGAAAGGTGCACTCCACTTCAAGAAGCTCATGAATATCAAGACCTTAATCACAGCTCTTCGGATGACACGAGCCCATGCTTTACAAACCAACCGTGGCCCTAGTCATATTAAAATCCAAGTTGCAAAATAAAGAAGCATTCTGAGAAACCTTGTCTGCTTCATTTAGATAACAGTGTGCAGAATGAATTGAAAGATAAAAATGCTCCGCATTCACCATTTCCTTTTCTTTTTAAATTTTAAGCCCCGTGGTGTTGTGGATGATATCATCAGGCAATTTGGTTTGAATATGTTCCATGCTGGACTGTGCAGATTACCCAACTAATGACATGCACACTCCTTGCCATTGTGAACTGCTCTTCTCACAAGTGGGAATTTCAAGTGACAGACTAAAGCTGTTTGCTATCAATTCTGCAAAAAGACCCACATCTGCCAGATAGACAAGATTTAGTTCAGAGACCGAAATCGATTAATATTCTCATTTGTTACCTGTCAGTAGAGTCGCACTGTATTGCGCCAAGTCAAAAGTGATAACCTTTATAGAACAGACGCCCCCAAAGGGATTGGATTTTAGGGATATATTTTATTTTTGTTTAATGTTGTTCCATGTGTGTAAATCCCATTAGAAATTTCAATTGCACTGACAGGGACATCGCAATGGATTGAAATGAAAGTGTGAAACGTGCAGTAACATATTTTTAATAAGAGGGCCTGGCTGTACTTATGATACTATTTTTTCTAACACTTGTTTACCATACCACTTCAATATTTTAGGTTATTTCACTTGCCATTTCTTGTAAAGGCCAGGAGAAAACTAGCAACATAATATCTCTATAAGTGTCATTCACAGCCTTGGACAGGATATTATTGTAGGTTGCTGGTCAAAAGCAAATCTCCGTGGAGAAGACTGATTACTTGGTTTGATTTCCAGTGCCCATAAAAGTGACACAGAAATGGGACAATGGCTTGGGAAGGAATTAAATGAAGTTAATTCCTTAGAGTCAAGGGAAAGAAAAAAAGAATTTCATAGCTATTTCCCCCCAAATTGATTGTTTTCATACTGATGAACAGAAAGGAATAATATAAAGTAATACCTTGCTTTAAGTGGCAAAGGTTTAAAAATGGTTAACACTACAAATATGGAAACAATGTGATGATACAGTCAAGCACCGTAATGATGTTTTTCTTAAATTTATAATATGCTTTAACTTTTCAGCATCTTAAGGTCTCAAAGTCTAGGAGGATGGTCCAGGATATGTAAACTTAAAATTCATTCATTCAATAAACAGATATTGAGTGGCTCATAAGTGGCAAGCACCACCAGGGATATAAATATTCACTGAATAGACCCAACTTTTGACCCTCATAGAGCTGACATTACTTTGGAGAGAGCCAAATGATTTAAAAGCAAATTATCGCATGACCTCACTCATTTATGGGATTTAGTGAACAATGTACTCTGATGAACAGAAATAGAGCCAGAGGTATAGAAGCAACAAATAGACCATCAAATTTCAGAGGGAAGGCAGGGGAGGGAGAAGGTGGTGGGTAAGAGATCAACCAAAGGATTTGAATGCATGCATATAAGCATCACCAATGGTCACAGACTCCAGGGGGGTAAGGGCATGTGCTAGGGGTGGGGGTGGAAAGGTCAATTAGGAAAAAAAGGAAACATATGTAATGCCATATGTAATACTTTAAACAATAAAGAATTAAAAAAATAAAAGCTAATGATAAAATACATAACATTGTAAATGGTGCTAAGTAAAATGGTGAGAAATAAAAAGCAAGGGGAAGGACAGGAAATGCTGACAAAGACAGGGTGTGATAAATGGGTCATAATGTAACATTGCACGGCTGAGGAAGTTCTAACTATGAAGATGACATTTGGGCAAAGGCCTGAGGGAGATGAGAGAGTGGTTATGTGGATACATGGAAAACATTCAGCCCCATAGTTATCAACATTGCCATGCTTTTCATATTGTTTACTCTTCCAGAGAGGGAGATGGTAGGTATTGAAGACAAGGCAGAACATGGATTTGACTTGGTGTTATTCATTGCTTTCTCTGCTTCCTTATAACACACTTCTTTTAAAGTAAACATTTTGATAAAATATTTGAGTGAGAATTTGCCTCCATGATATACATATTTGGTTTCTGCCAAGTTTTATCAAAAGTGTCTAGATCAGTCCACCAGCTTAGCAGTAGAGGAAGAAAGGAAACTGAGAACCTGCATTTCCCATAGGAGGGCTCTATCTACTGGACCAGTCCCATCCCACTGGATGATGGCTCTTCCTACTAAGAATGGTCATTACTGACAACTGTGCAAATAGTGTCTCTCAGATGAACTTGAATTTCTTAAAGGAGGACAGACAGATCAACAAGTTGTTAATTACTTGAAGGATAAGAACTTGATTCCTTGTCTATTTTCATTTAGTTTCTCAATGTCCTTATAGAAAAATTCTCTTACAAATTTTATAAATCTCTCATCTGGATCATTGCCACAGCCTGCTTTGTATTCTACCCTTACCCCTCTAAGCAATAGCAAGGTGATTTTAAAGAAAAACCTTAGCCAGATCCTGGACACCTTTGCCCAAAGCCATGCAAAAGCATTTTATTTCACTCAGACTAAAAGCCAAGTTCCTTAGAACACTCCACAAGGCCCCATGTGATGTGGCCTCTGCTACAGTGCAGTCATCTTTGCCCCTCTCCACCTTGTACTCAAGGCCCACACAGCTCCTTGCTGTTCAGGCAGATTTTCATCTTAGGGCCTTTGCCTGTATTTCCCAGGTTATTATAACTTTCTTCCCTAAGTCATCCAGGTTTCCTTAAAAAGCAGCTTTCACCATCCTACATAATAACAACCTTTTCCTCCCTATCCCCTTTCTGATTCCATTTACTAGTCTTTAGTTTTCCTTACATTATTTATTTCTAAATAATGCATTATATATATTTGCCTGTTTATTGATTTGTTACTTCTTTCCCCCACTATGATATAAGCTTTGTGAGGGCCAAAACCTAGATTTACAATGCCTAGAAAGTGTTAATACAAAGTTAGTGTTCAAATCTGAAGAAAAAATAAACCTGTAGTTTAAAATTTATATTAAATGCCACTGATTTGGCTTAGTGTTATACAAATAAGTGGGTACAAATTACATATTTCCTAATGACAAAATTAAAAAAAATTGTGCCACGGTTTTGAAATATTAACAACTGAAGAAAAGAAAAATCAAACTTTACATTTGAGGAAGTGCATTTTAGTTACCACTTAGAAATAATCTTTGCAATGGAATAATTTCATAACTACAGATATAAAATACAGCACAACTCTTAAGCATTAATAGTCTTGAGAGAAACATATATTAAAGAAGATAAAAAAAGAACCCACTTACATTAAATACATGATGCAAATGTTTGGCAATACTGCTGTTCCGATAATTAAAAATAAACAAATGTATGTTATAGTATGTTTGAAGGAATTCTGCTTCCTAACGAGTAAGATGATTTTCAACCATTTATTTTTCCTGAAGTAATAATATGTATTACTCACGTGGAATTTTATGTAACTCATTCATGAACTTCTCCTTCAGCTTAGAAAAGGCATTTTCCTTTCCTTCTCCGGGGCTGGCTGGCTCGGTGGCATTGTTTGGTGTAACAGTCGAAACAGTGGTGACAAGCGGGGCTGCCAGGGCCTCAGGATGACTCTGGCTCACCATTTTAGGTTCAGGTGAAACTGTGAAGAGAGGGAAGCGAAAAAGAATAATTCAAAATGGCTTAACTGATCCCACATCAAAGGTTTACTGGGGATGAAAAAGCATCAGAGGGTGCACCTGCTCTCTGGGTAAATGGTCCATCATTAGCATATTACTTTATGTTGCTTCATGAAATATTTATGGAACCACAGTGGAGATTCTCTCCCAGAAGGTAAGACCAGACAGTTACTGAAAGCATTCTCTCCTAACAATAGCATGTAAACTCTCAGTCTGTTATTTATTTATACAGGCAATTGTTTGCTGTGTAGATTTAACTCTATAACCCATATCTCACTGAAAGGTGTATGAAATGATTGCTGACAACATACATGCTCTATGTTCAAAATATTCTGTATTTTCTAAAAGAAAAAGATCAAATATTTATACCACAAATGATAGTATACATTCAAAATGTTAGTGAATTTTAAAATAGTTAGGAAGAATACTATTAAAACATTGCTACTCTAAGATATCATACTGAAATTATTTCTTGAATCTGGCTTATTGATCATGCATTTCCCTCACAGTCTTTTCTCTTTTTTTTTTTTGTTGTTGACATTTACTGCAAAGAATATTCTGTTCAATAATTTACTTGTGAATTTATAGAAGTCACTGTCTATGTGGTATGATTGACTATATACACCAAGGTACTGATAAAGAAACATGGCTTGTCTAATTATGTTAATTTACTTAGTTTGAATATATTAATGAATTATTTTATTAACTTTATTCATTCAATTATTTTTCATGTTTTTTATCTGCAAAATATAAAAAAATTAATCCTAAGGTAGTCAGTGAAAAAAAACCCTTAGCTTTGAATACAGAAGCTATCAGATCAGTTCTAGTCCTCTTCACTAGCTAAATGAATTTTAACAAGACATTTGACCTCATTTAATTTGCCTTTTGAATTATGAAGAAGTAAAACCTGTCCTGTCTAGATTTTTCTTAGCATACATAACATAAATATATAATATTGTAAGTATATATTTATATTCCTAAATATAAGGAAGGCTTTCTAAATGAGTTGAAGTCATATTCTCCAATTTAAACATATTTTGGATTTCTGTGTGTCTTAAATTTCAGGCTGTGCTGGTGAGACAGTGGGCATGAATTTAGGCAGAAATAGGCAAATACAAACAGCCTGGGCATGAGTAACCTCATAGTCTCAGCAGGGAATTTTATGGAACTATAAAGCTCTTTTTTGATTTGCAAGGAAATGGAGATAACCTGCAAACATAAAATATTTTTATAGAATTCAAAGCCTTTGTGAGTTAACTATCTATACTTCTGTATTTAGTGGAAGTACAATTGAAAGAAGAAGAATCTCAAATGTATGGGGTTGTTTCTAAAATCTTAAACAAAATCCAGAGATTTTGGATATCCTACAAGGAGATGGTGGCTGAGGCTAATACCAACACACAGGAAATCAATTTTTATTTTATAGTAGGTTAGTTCTTTCTTTTAAGCTTTACATTTTTCCACTAATAGCTACTAATATAATCCTAGAGGGTAGAATCAGACAGATATGATTTCAGATCTCAGTTCTTCAGTTTCTCCATTTGTAAATGAGCATAATCATACCAAATACACGAGGTTTTAATGAGTATGAAATGAGATAACATATGCAAAGAATTTAGTACTATATCTAGCATGTAAGTTCATTCCATCTACCCCTTCCCATTTTGAGAGATAATATTGTTTTTCCATGGCAAGACTAAGAATAGTTACATGGCTCTTGAAAATTCATATCTGTGGATTGAAGGTGCTTATCAAGAAACATTTTGAAGATGAAAGAACTTACTAATTATTCAGTCCTGACTAATGTGATGACTTTATATTCTCTTATGCACTCTAGTGCTTGTGGCACTACTTGCTTATTCAGAGAAAATTTTATATTATGCTCAAGTCTTGATAAAATAATAGCCAACTGTAATTGAGTACCTACTAAGTGATTTTGATATGTGAAATCATATAGTTCTCATACCACTCCCATGAGACAATTAAAATCCATCTTACAGGTGAGGAATACAGAGGTTATGCAATTTGTAAAAAGCAATATGGTTAGTGATTACTACAGTTGGGATTTAAATTCAAGTGTCTTACCACATAGTATAAAACTTGTACACTATGTGACCAGTATCTGGTAAAATTGTTATTTTATTTTTTAAAGATTTTACTACAACCCCCTAGTAAGAAGTGCTCCACTGTACACACTCCTCCTACTTATGTTATATACAGAATAAAAGTTTCACATAAAACACTTGCCTTTACAATATGTGAAATATTTTGATATATTCAGTTTTGTTCTGTTCTTTTTCACTAAAAAATTCTAGTTGTGCCTCAAAATTATGTACATAAATTTCATAACCCATGAATGGTTTGAGACCTACAGTCTGAAAAGCCATTATAATAAGGGACATGTTGAGATACAATAACACCCAATGAGGCTAATAAAAACTAAATATGCACCGGGACCGGTTTTAGAGCGTCAGCTTGGGGACTGAAGGGTCCCGGGTTCGATTCCGGTCAAGGCATGTACCTTGGTTGCGGGCATGTCCCCAGTAGGGGGTGTGCAAGAGGCAGCTGATCGATGACTCTCTCTCATCGATGTTTCTAACTCTCTATCTCTCTCACTTCCTCTCTGTATGAAATCAATAAAATATATTTAAAAAAAAAAGTAAGTAAAAAAAAAAAAAACCTAAATATGCCATTTATTAGAATGCTACTATGTACCAAAAGTTAACATCAATATTTAACTATAATATCTTCAAATCTCATTACAATCCTGAAAAGTAACTCAGTCTTACTTCACAGAAGAAACTGGGATATGGAGAGGTTAAGGGATTTGTCCTATAAGAGCTAGCCTGATCCAAGGTTTTTACTACCAGTCTACTCTAATAATAACATTTAAGTCTCATTAAACAGTTAAATCAATGCTCAAAAGGCTCCTTAGGCAGTAAGTAAAGTATAGCAGCATTATCAAAATCTTCCACAAGTTTGCAGATGTTTGAATGTCAGGTTCAAGGTTTATCTTCTCCTTAGTTTGTACTTTTTCTTGAAAGCAGTAAGAGGAAAGCCAGATATTATATGGTTCTGTCATGGCAGAACAGAGCTGACTTCTGGGGAAAGAGTCAATAAAATGGTGAGAGATGAAAGATGGTTTTTCAGACCTTGGAGCAACTGGAAGCAAAGCAGGCATCCTATCTTCATAAAGCCATAAATTACAGACTTCTCCTCCTTCTTCTCCTCCTTCTTCTCCTTCTCCTTCTCCTTCTCCTAACTCTCCTCCCCTCCACTTTATCCTCCCCCTTCCCTTTCTCCTTCCTCTTCTCCTCTCTCTTCTTTTCCTCATTCTCTTCCTCCTCCTTCCTCAAAACTAGATCCAGGTACCTCTAGATTTTACCCATTTATCTTATCATAAGAGTATCCTAAGAGGTGCAGGGAGAATTTTAAGTAGGGGTATGGTTCTCGGCATCACTCATCAGCGCCTCTGCTAATTGAATACAAGTGAGCCTGCTTAGCTTTACTTGAGTGAAAACAAACAAACAAAAAATTCCTTCCTAATCCTGCAAATACCACACTATAGATGCCAAATAAGTGTGTAGATTACTATGCTAAATGTGTCTTCGAAGGAGTGTGATGAGGGAGGATATATTGTACATTTCCAGCTGTGTTCAGTATTTCTAAGAATCCCTTGTTTATATATGTATGGAGGTATGATTGAAATACCAAAAGCTGTACACATTAAATATATACAGCCTGATAAGTTTGGAAATGAGTGTACACTCATTAAACCATCACACACACACACACACACACACACACACACACACACACACACACATATCTTAAAGAAAGAAGTTGCTAGAGGAAATAATGAACAACACAAACAGACTCAGAGAAAGAGAACCAGTGATCAGATTCTCAAACCTCAGAGGGAAAGTAAGGGAGGATGGGGGTGAGGGGAAGAGATCAACCAAAGGACTTGTGTGCATACATATGGGCCCAGCCAGTGGCCATGGGACAACTGGGGGTGAGGGTTGGGCATATCTAGGAGGGGTTTGGGATGGGAATGGGGGAATAAGGACAATTATGTGAGACCATAATCAATAAAAAAAAGTTGTTGATAGGACCAGGATAAAGGAAATTTGAGTCAAAAGTGAATAAGCAGAGAGAGGGGTACAGATATGCATTGTTCAAAACATCAGAAACCTTAAGAGGCAAACATTTGTATTCAGAACTTTTAAAATGGCTAGCTACTCCTACTAGAGTTAGAAAAACTTTTCTTATCAACTTCCAGTTTTCATGTAAATTATCTCCTATCTCTTTCTGATTCTTCAATGCTCAACCCCTCCCAACTCTATCTCCCCAAGACAAGCAAAAGCAATTTCTCACGATGCAGCTCCTTAATTGTAGGATATTAGTTTTAATAAGAGTTTATTTATTTTCCCATATCACTCTAATTTTAATATTTACAAAGAAGAACAAGATTTATTTCCAAGATGGCCCAACTTGTTAAACATACATCCTTTTTTTTTTTTTTTTTTTTTTTTTTTTTTTTTAAACTTTGCTGTTTATATTCTGAGTAGAGAGATCCAACTCTGGACCCTGCAGATGGTGTGTGGGAGATGTGACCACCAGTGCTTACCCAGCCACAGATCCTTTTCAATAAAATTGTCTTGCTTACAGGCTCTAATGATGAGAGTCTGTAGATTGGATGGCCTCCTCCTACAGCCATAGTAACAGTGGATGTAGGAGGGACGAGTAGCTGGTTCAATGACAGCTCACTTAGATGCTTGTCTGAGCCCAGGGACACTATGTAGCGTGAGGAGGTGAGTGAGGCCAATAAGATTCTCTCCTTCTGGAACCTGAAGATATGGAAGCATAAGGAGTAAACACGCTCCTTGTCACAGAGTTAAGGATTGAGCGAGGGATTCCCAACATAGCCTATCTTAGAGCTCATA